TATTTCGCACACTAGCGTCTGCCAAGCAGTTCAGTGAGAATGTCAACGCCTCCGCCCTGCAGTGGATAGACCCCCGTAATGGGTCAGCCCACTCACTGAGAGTGCGACATGACTTGCCTATTGATGTGCGAGACCGCCAACGCACGATAAGCCGCATCTACCAGCCGATTTTAGATTTACTTCGTGGTCAGAATATGTGGGGTATCACGGCCGAGCAGATTCAGCAGATCTTCAATGTCGCGCACCAGGCGAGCCGCATTGAGAGCTACCTGTAGGATCTTCCCGTGAGGCAGTCCCGTGAGCGCCGCGCCGTCGCTTGCTTGCCTCCTCCGCTGCTGGAGAGCGAGCATCCTCAGCAGGATGCGTTTCGCTCGAGCAGGGGATGGCTGCCCGTAAGTAGTCTCTTGCAGGGGGAGAGCCCAGAGCATCGCTCGAGTGATGCTCAGCGCTCGTGCAAGGAGGCCAGCGAGGGCCCCGACGGTGTCTGCTCAGACACTTTTTTTCGCTTCCCGAGCTCGCTCTCGGCTTTGCAATTATGTGCCAGGTCCGTGTCCCCCTCCTCTCTCGTCTCATCCATATGTTCCTGATTGTTCTCTTGGCATCTGCAGTTGGAATATTCAGACTGTCCTCGGCTCTGTCCATTCGAACCAATCCAGCTTCCGATCAAAGTTGACTCATCTCCGTTCCTTGCTCAGTAAGTTCCAGGTTCTCGGGATCCAGGAGTCTCACGGTGGCGAGGGTGATATCGTACATTTCCAGAGAGAAGCTCGGACACACCAGGTTTTCGGCAGTTTCTGTGAATCTCCTTCTGCAGGTGGCAATATTCTTCTTGTTTCTTGTGAGTTTCTCCGCAGATGGTCTCAGTGCGAATTTGTGGCAATGGTGCCTGGGCGCATCTCCTTGCTGCGCTTGTCCTCCGAGAAAGGCAGCGTGCAGTTCCTCGACCTCCACCTCGATCCTGAGTGGGGCACCAATGAGCTCAGAGGTGTGTTTATGAAGATCAAGAAAGTGCGTGGGAAGCCAGATGTTGTCACAAGCTTCGTTTTCGGGGACTTTAACTTCTTGGAGGTCGGGGAGTCCAGGGTGAATGCTTCCACGGGCCTTGATGGGCCCAGCACCAGCCGCTTGGCTTCGATGTTTACGTCTGTATTTCCGTATTTGGCTGAAGTTTCTCAGGAAGACGATGCTCACCGTCTGTTGCGTGATGAAATGTGGTCTTACGGTCGGCTAGACCGCCTTTACTGTTCCCTGCCCACTCAGGACATCCTCGACCTGTGTCCGAGCACGGGCGTAGTCTGGCCTGCCTCCGATTTAGCCAAACCTTCGGACCGCGTTCCCGTGTTTCTGAAGCTTGTGCCGTGGGGGCCCCAGGGTCCATCCCCGATCCCGGTTTGGGTGGCTAATCATCGCGTATTTCAGGAAGTAGCCCAGGACCTTATCGCGCCGGATGAGTTAGGCCAGAACTTAGACGAGCAGTTACAGGGCATCAGAGATGTCTTCTATTACGCTGCTGGGCGCGTCAAGGCCCACATTGCTAGTCAAGGAGCTGAGTCGCTTGAGGAACGAGTATCTTGTTGCTTAAACTTAGCTCGGGCCGCTCGTGGAGGACGTTGTCGCAGCGCCAAGAAAGCGATCTCTGGTTATTCTGTAGTGGGGAGATTTTATGATTGGGAGTTGAATATCTGGTCTGACCGCGGGGCATTTGATTTGCACCTGGGGAGTTTGATGAGAGATATATGTTCCAAGCGTGAAGCGGCGCTCTGCTCTGTTGTTGAGAAGTCTACGGCGGACATCGCCGAGGCTAAGTGCTCTGCTGTTGTGCGGTGTATTCGTGATATGTCTCGTGCGTGGCGGTCATGTGGCCGCAGGATTTGTTTGCAGCAGGTCACTGGCGTTGGTGGCCAGCATTACTCTGCTGGTCGGAGGTGCGCCGAGATTCTTGCCTCGTACTGGGAGTCGGTCTTCCAAGATGTCCAGGCTAGTGAGGAAAGTATTGAGGATTTGTGTTCTGAGATCACCCCGATCCCCTCCCACCCGTTCCACTACCAGGCCAGAGATCTAGCATTGTATCCTCGGCTTGCCCCTGAGAGCAAGTTTCAGGATATTATCTTTTGGAAGAAAAGCACTGCCCCAGGGCCTGATGGAGTTCCTTATGCTGCTTGGAAATCGGCTGGCGATTCGGCTCAGCATATTCTGTACGAAATCTATTTGATGATGATACAGACTGGGCGCCTCCCTCCTGATTTTAACGTTGCTAGAGGTGTGTTTCTGCCTAAGGACTGTCCAGGCGGTATTGATACCGCTTCCCGTGCGCCAGCGTGCACGAAGCCCCTATCATTATCGAACTCTGACAACAAGATTGTCACCAGCTGCGTCGGCTTTGCGGTCTCAGAGGTTGTGAAGGACACCGCTGAGGATTGCCAGAAGGGTTTCGTTAAGGGCCGCCAGCTTCTGGACAATGTGTTTTCCCTTGACGCTGCCTTTTTGAAGTGGGCCATGATGGACGTTTCCCCTCGGATTGGATCGGCGCTTTTTGATGTAAAAAAACGCTTTCCCCAGTGTCATTCACAAGTATATTTGGGCTGTCTTACGGCGTGTAAATCTTCCTCGGGATATTCGTCGGGCAATCGAGGCGTTGTATTCGGATATGCGTATGCGTATATGCATTCACGGCTGCGATCCTGTATTTATTGCGGTGAGAAGGGGTGTGAAACAAGGCTCCCCCATTTCTGGATTAATTTTCTGTTTATGTATCAACCCGATTTTGACGAGAATTCGTAAAAGATGTTCAAGTCTGCCCATCGAGATGGGCGCCTTCGCCGACGACACTGGCATATGCTGTCGTGATGTACTCCAGAGCCTCCCGACGATCCTGAGAGTGCTTGCTCTCTCGGACGATGGCAAAGTTTCTGGCCTCATTTTGAACCTTGCCAAGTGCGTGCTGGTGATTCCGTCGCCCGCCTTTCGTGAATCTGTAGTTGCTGACCTTCAGAGAGTGGGCGTGAATATTCGTCAGTTTAAGATACTCAGGAATGGAACGCATTTGGGTGTGTATTTGGGCATCGAGGGGAGGGGGGAGAATTGGAAGCAGGTTATTACTATTTTGGGGAGGAGGACATTGCAAGTGAAGCAGATGGGGGGAGGATTATCTCTTAGCGTCTCCGCATGAAATTTATGCGCTGCCCGTCGTAAGCCACGTGTCGCAGGTCTGGGGCCCCCCAAAACCTGTCCGCCTTGCTGAAAAGAACATTCTCCAGAGGCTCACCTGTTCCCTGAGGTTTGCGTTTCCGACTGAGACCCTGCATCGGCTCAAAGATTTAGGACACCGTGTGGAGGCACGGGGGCTGGAGATCTATGCCCGTGCCTCCATGTTACGTTCCGCTATCAACTCTGACAAGTTCCATGAACTGAAAAATGATTTACAGGAGTATGCAGACTCGGACGACGTTGTGATCGCATGGGGGTATAGCCCCTATGCGAAACATTCCCTCTTCCTGCGCATCTGGGACCTGTATAATCAGTTCTTCCAGATTCACCGCCCCTTGAACTGCAAGCCCAAGGCTGTCCAGGCTCGGGTGACCAAGATGTTGCTCATGAATCAGCGGCGTGAGTTTCCCAGTATCCAGGACGTTATTTTCCCAAGGTTAAAAAGATGGGTCCCTGATATTGTGCCCGCCGGTGTGTTTCTGACGATTATTCGTATTGGTGTTGCTGGTCTCAAACTCCCTGGATATATTTTATCGGCGTGTTTGAAGTCCATATTTAATGGATGGAATACCACTCGGCGGTATAGGCAGGCGGTGCAGGTGTGTGGATTCGGCTGTTACGCTGTGAACGGAGACGGCCTGCTCCATTATTCGATATGCCCTGTCCTGATCCAGTGTATTCGGAGTGTTCTTCCTTGGCTTCCTGAATGTTGGGGCGATCGACCTCTGAGTTCTTTCCTCCCCCATCTCTTCCTTGCCCCGTCCTGTGAGTGCCTCCTGTCACAATTCGTCGCTGTGGATCTTATGCGTAATTGTTTTCAGATTTTTCGGGCTTCTCCCTCTGTGTGTATCACTCCTGCCTATACCTTGTCTCTTGTTAAGGCCAGATTGCGTGTTGGTGCGAGACGGAGCAAGGTCATTCAGGCCCTAGGTCGGGGTGCTTTGATTTCCTTGGGCAATGACTTTATTATTTTTATTATTATAAAAATATATCGTTTCTTTATCAGTATCTTATTTTTATTTATTATTATTATCCTTTTATTTTGTGCATGTCCTGTGAATTGTCTGTGCCACCCTGATTCGTTGTGTCGGTGGTGTCGCCCACGCATGCGGCGGCGGCCGCCGTCTCCGTGACGGCCGCGGCGTTCCCCGAGGACCGCCCCGCGCGTGTTCTGCGCGGGCTGGGCGGGGTGCTGGACGTCGGACCTCTGTCTCCCCCTCTTCGGTGGGTGCGCTCCTCCTCCTCCTCCTCCTCACTCCTCACGCCTCACTCCTCCTCCTCCTCCTCCTCCTCCTCCCCCCTCCTCCTCCTCACTCCTCCTCCTCCTTCTATTCCTCCTCTTCCTCCTCCTCCTCTTCCTCTTCCTCTTTCTCCTCCTCACTCCTCCTCCTCCTGCTCTCTTCTTCTTCTTCTTCTTCTTCTCCTCCTCCTCCTGTTCCTTCTGCTCCTTCTCCTCCTTCTCCTCCTCCTCCTCACTCCTCCTCCTCTTCTCCTCTCCCTCCTCATTCCTCCTCCTCCTCTCCTCCCTCCTGTTCTCCTCCTCTTCGCTCCCTCTCCTCCTCCTCCTCCTCCTCCTCCTCCTCCTCCTCCTCCTCCTCCTCACTCCTCGCGTCGTCAACCAGGGCCGCTCCGAGGTCGCCTCGACGAGGGCGAATGAGCGCTCCACTAATCCTCCCCTCCTCCCCTCCTCCCTCCTCGCTCCCCCCTCCTCACTCCTTCGTGCTCCCTCCTCCCTCCTCCTCCTTCTCTCTCGTCGTCTTCCGCCGCCTCCGCCTCCCGCTCCTCCCTCCCAGGAGTTCGAGGAGGCCGAGAACAGCGAGGAGACTTCGGACGACAGCCTCTCGGCGTCTCTCCGGGCGGCGCAGGAGAAGCTCGCCAAGGAGGACGGGGAGGACCGCCGCCCCGAGCCCTGCGCAGTATCACCTGGTGTTCCTGGATGCCCCTCCTGTCCCTCCTCCCCCTTTCCCCCTTCCTCCTCCTTTTCCTGCTTTTCCTCCTCCTCATCCTCCTTTTCCTCGTCCTCCTCCTCCTTCCCGCCCCCCTTTTCCTTCCTTCCTTCCTTCATTCATTGATTCCTTCATTCCTTAGTTCCTTCCTTCCCTTCTCCTCCTCCTCGTCCCCCTCGTCCCCCTCCTCCCCCTCCGCCCCCTCCGTCCTCCTCCCCCTCCGTCCTTCTCCTCCTCCTCCGCAGTCCTCTCTCCCTCTTTATGGGCAGTGAGCATGCCGCGATCGTTCAAGGCTGACCGATCCACATGGCGTCAGAAATCGGCGCGAAGTCGCCACGACACGCGCCGTCCTTACTCTGGCCTTCCATCGGCACGTCCTTCCTCGTCGATCCGAAGTGCAGCCGAGGAGAGCAGGTGCCGAGGTTGCGCGAAGCCACCCATGCCCCCTTTCCTTCCCCTTCCTCCGCCTTTGCAGTCTTCCGTGCTGCTACGCTCTGCGGCCATGTCTGCCAACCGTCGTCACACCACGGCGCCACTGTTGAGCCTGAACATCCTCCTCGCTTTCATCGCCCCCCCTTTCTTCCTCCGACGCTCGTCCTCCCTCCTCATCCCCCTCCTCCTCCTTCTCCAGACCTCCTTCCCTCTCATCCCCGCTCCTCCCTCCTCCTCCCTTCCATCATTCCTCCTCCTACTTCGTCCCCCCTCTTCCCCCCCCTTCCCCTCCATCCCCCTCCATCCCCTCCTCCATCCCCTCCATCCCCTCCTCCTCCATCCCCTTCTCCTCCCCCTTCCCCTCCTCCCCGCTCCCTGTCCAGGGTGACGCCGCGGGAGAGGCGGACAAGAAGGAGGACCAGGGCGACGGCGAGGGTGAGGGCGAGCCAGGCCGCGCCGACGCGCACGCCCGGGACCCGTTGGACGATCTACTCCGCCTTCCTCCTCCTCATCCTCTTCCTCCGTCCTCCCTCCGTCGTCCCTCCTCCGTCCTCTCTCCTCCGCCCTCCCTCCTCCCTTCCTCGCTCCTTTCACCCTCCTCCTTCTTCCCCTTGTGCCTCGTTCCTCCTCCCTCTTCCCCCCTCTCCCCCTCCCACCTCCTCCCTCCTCCCTGCTCCCGCCTCCTCTTGCTTCTTCCTTCCTCCCCCCTCCATCTCCTCTCCTCCGCCGTCCCCTGCCTCTTCCTCGATCCTCCCACTTCTCAACCTCCTCGTCGTCCCCCACCCCCCTTCCTTAAATTCCCCTCGTTCCATTCTCCCCTTCTCCCGCTTCCCCCTCCCTCCCTCTTCCTCTCCGTCTCCCCCGTCCCCTTCCTCTTCCCCCTCCCCATTCTCACCCCGCCCCTCCCTCTCCCTCCTCATCGTCATCCCTCGCCCACCCTCCTCGCCCTGGACCTCCTCCTCGCCCTCGTCCTCCCTCCTCGCCCTCCCTCCTCGCCCTCGCCCTCCCTCCGTCCTGATCTTCTCTCCTCCCTCCTCGCCCTCGCCCTGCCTCGCCCTTCTCCTCCTCCTCCTCCTCCTCCTCCTCCTCCTCCTCTTCCTCCTCCTCCTCCTCCTCCTCCTCCTCTTCCTCCTCCTCCTCCTCCTTCTCCTCCTCCTCCTCCTCCTCCTCCTCCTCCTCCTCCTCCTCCTCCTCCTCCTCCTCCTCCTCCTCCTCCTCCTCCTCCTCCTCCTCCTCCTCCTCCCTCCTGCTCGGCCCCTGGCCGGTGCAGCTTCTGCACCTCCGACTTGATGCGCCTGTCCTCACTGTCGTCCTCGCCTGGCGGCCGGGTGCAGGGTGAGACGCGGGTGCAAAGCGGGGGCAAATGGCGGAGACGTCAGCCTCCTCTCTCCTCCTCCTCCTCCTCCTCCTCCTCCGCCTCCATCCTCCTCCTCCTCCTCCTCCTCCTCCTCCTCTTCCTCCTTTTCCCTCCTCCTCCTCCTCCTCCTCCTCCTCCTCCTCCTCCTTCCTCCTCCTCCTCCTCCCTCCTCCCTCCTCCCTCCGCCCTCCGCCCGCCGCCCTCCGCCCTCCGCCCTCTCCCCCTGCCGCCCCGCGAGGCCCGACGGAGGGCGACGAGCCGCCCAAGCCGTCCCCGCCCGCCCCCGAGGGCGGCGGCAAGCCGGCCTGAGGAGCCGGGGGCAGGGCGCCGGCCGCGGGCATCGGCAACCGGCCCTGGCCCGGGCCAGCCCCTGGTCACCGAGCGCGTTCCACTAACTCGCAGAGTGCCTACTCGCAGACGTCCTGAAACAAAATGCGTCTTCCTTGTAGGTAAGGGATCGTAGAACCCCCCGCGGCGGATTTGGGCCATCTGCGAGCAGTGATGTACTTTGCGAGTAGTGGAACGCGCTTGTCTACCTGGGCCCAGGACACCCTGCCCCAGGCCCCCTCGGGTCATGAACAAAAACACTGCGGGATTCTCTGCCGCCAGTTTCGGTCTCTAGGGGCCGCGGACGGCCCTCGGGGCCGTCCAAAAGCGATCCAGGATGAGACACCGGTTCCGACAGATGGGTCGAGACCTTTGGGGGCCGATGTTCCCAGACATGATCGCGTCGTGAAGAAATCAGGACGGGCGGTTTTTGGCCGTTTTCGGCCCCTGAGAGTCTTCGCCTGCCCTCGGGGCCGTCAACAAAACGGCTCAGGACGAAAAACTGGTCCTGTGGAAAGGGTCGGGACTTCCACGGATCCCGTATTGGAAGAATCGGGGCGTGGCATGCCTGGAGTTTGACAAAACCAGGACGTCGGGGCCGGCCAAGAGGGGGCTGGCGATTGGGGGGGGGGGGAGACCATGGCCAGGGCCATGACGTCTCCCGGCTTTCATGGCCCCTCGTGCTGTTTCAGTGCGGGCCGCCCACGTGCCTCGCTCGGGCAATGACTCGCGAGCCTCCCTGTTGGAGGCCCCCCTCGGAGACGCCCCCGTCCTCCCAAGAGATCCGATGTCGTGTTTTTTTCAATACGGGGTCCCCAGAAGCCTCGACCCATTCCCTGGGACCGGTTTCTCATCCTTGGTCGTTTTTTGACGGCCCCGGGGCCCGGCGAGGGCCCCTCGAGGCCGAAAAGTACGAAAACCCTCCGTCTCGATCTTTTCAGTGCGTTGGATCTCCGGGTCCGCGTCAGCCCCTGGGCGAGGAGGGGGGAGGAGGAGGAGGAGGAGGAGGAGGGAGGAGGAGGAGGAGGAGGAGGAGGAGGAGGAGGAGGAGGAGGAGGAGGGGGGGGGGGAGGGGGAGGGGAGGGGGAGGGGAGGGGGGGGGGGGGGGCCGCTGCGAGGGTGGGCGGCGGGCCGCCGCGAGGGCGGGCGTGCTATGCTCGGAGGGCGGGGGCCCTGAGATCCGACGTCGCGAGAGCAGGTGCAGCATCGCAGGCCTCAAGGTTGGCACCAGCACCAATACACCTCAGGCGATGCTCAAGAAAACTGAAATTTTCGGCCAGAGTCTCGATTATTCTTAATGTTTCAATTCAATTCCCAAGATTTTGATGTAATTTCTGGGTTTTAGTTAAATTCTGAGACTATGAATTTCTTAACCCATGATTTCTTAAGCATTTCGCAGGGTGTAGTTATCGGCGGTGTGCCTCCACTGAGGGAAGACGATCTCGATATCGGTAATGGTGGTAATATTCTGGCTTCCAAGGTGACCGAAGTGTTACCGCCAACACCGAAATCTAGGAGCATCTTCCCCCTGTGGAGGCAAGCCCCTGTGTTGGTGTTGGTGCCCATTTCCAGGCCTCCAACAGCATCCTCGAAGTCACGGCCCGTGCCCTACCCTGAGATCCTGGCGCCTCAACCTTTTCGAGCCGGGCGTTTTCGCATTTTTTCGGGCCCCTCGGACCCTCACACATCGATCCGGCTCGAAAGATGACGCCGAAAGATGGGGGCCTAGGGCTGCGGGTGTGATTATTTACGATGCTGCATTTTTTTCGCTACGTCGGATCTCAGGGTAGGCCCCACGGCTCCGCAGCAGGGTTCGTGCCGGATCGCTCCGTGAGGGTCCTGGAGCCCGACACCGGGCGCAAACGCCCGTTGCGAACAACTGGCGACGCCCGGATCGCAGGGGGCCTTCCCGGGGCCCTCCCCACCTCCCGCGGGCCTTCTCGGAAGCCGTGGGGCCCTTCCGAGAGGCCCTCGCGCCTTCCAGGAAGCGGAGGCCGCCATCCAGGCGCCTGCATCGACCTGGCCAGGCGGATCCCGGCCCAAGGCCTGGTGCATGTGCCTCCCTCGCCCAACCCGGGGGGGCGTGTATGCACCGAACCTGGGCCCAGGAGGGTCCAGGCCAGGATCGGTGTGGTGGTGCAGTTGGCGCCCTCCCCCCCCCCCCCGCCCCCTCAGAACGCCGCCCCCCACCCCTGCTCCTGCCGTGCGCAGGCCTGCCCGTCCTCGGGGTGGGCCGGCCGGGGCCCCTCGAGGGCGGCCATCGTCCAGCCGTGGCGGGCGCCCCCCGGAGGCGGATTCGTGAGCTCCGGGGTGCTGCTTGGAGCAGGCTGGGGGTCCGAGGCGAGGTGGTCCAGCTCTGGTTCCGGCGAGCAGGGCGGGCGGGCAGGGTCGAGGTTCTCTGGGTGTTGCTGGAAGTGCCCCCGGCCCAAGGTCCCCCCAGGACCTCCAGGGAGGCCCTCACGGCCTCCAGAGCACCCCTCACGAGGCCCAGAGGGCCCCGTGCACTCCAACATGGAGCGCTGGGGGCACCTGAGGCCAGGGGCACCTGTAGCAACATTCGAGTTCTGGGTTCGGGACGGGTTTTGCCTTTCACGGCCTCCGGGGGCCGTCTTCGGGCCCCGGGCCGTCAACGAACCCGGCACGATCCCAATTAGGGGAAAGCATATTGCATGGGCGCGTCGTTGGGCGCATCGCTTGGCATTGCTTGGCATTGCTTGGCATGGCATCGCTT